ATCTGGTATAGTTGAGCTATTGTTCCAAAAATTTAATTTGAGAAAACCAGTTCTCCCGCTCCTAGCCTGGAGCCCTCTAAAAATGTGTAAGCAACCTTTCTTTAAAAAGGAAAACATTAGATTTAAAACCAGACAACTGTTTCTTACAACAACCTCTTTAACTCTGATTTACCCGGGGTATTCCCCATTTTTTAATTATCTCTTATTTAATTATATCTCAATCCACAATGCATCCTGGTCACACAACAGGATGACCCGGTCCACAATCCTCACCTTTCCGATCTCGTCTACGAGTCTCGGCGGAGGGTGTCCAGGTTGAACGAAATCCATAGAGCATGAAGTTGAGGAGAAACAGCAGCTTGCTTATTGCTCTGCTGGGGCTAGCTTTTTACCATGGCACCAAATGGAGAGCCACGGAGGGACTCTCATCTGACCCCAGTAGGGGTCAAGGACTGATCACCTGTATACAACCTTCATCTGCCCCAGTAGGGACTGTCACCTGATCCTAGCAGGGATCAAGGAATAATCACCTGCACTCAAACTTCCTCATCCAACTCCAGGAGCAGAGGGAAGTTATGATTCTTTGTAGATAAGCTCCTCAAAAGTACATCTTTGTCCTGGAATAACTCTGTAGACCAGGCTGTCTGTGAACTCAGAGAGTCCCACAGTCTCTGCTTCCCCAATGCTGGGATTAAAGGCATGTGTTACAACACCCAGAACTCACAGAGATCTGTCTCTGTCTCCCAGGCATTGGGATTAAAGGTGTGTACTACCACACCCAACTACTCTCTTTCTTAAAGAACTTTAACTTTTAGCCTGCATATATTTTTAACCCAGTTAGAGGTTTTTTTTTCCTCTTAGAATCTCTCTTTACTGTATATCTTTCTTTTTCTGACTACATAAGCCTTTAATTTACTAAGCAAAAATGAGACCCGTGGCTTTGACGGCTAGATCCAACCCATTTCTTAGCTTTCTGTTGAGATGGAAAATCCTTGAGCTAGCAGCCTTAACGTTGTTTGCCGTTGCCCCAGGCTATTGGTTCGTCTTTGTTATCTAGAACATGGGCAACCTGCTGAAGCGGCGACCTGCTGAAGCAGCTCTCCAGCTATGGCGCGCTTTTTGAGCTAGCCCAAAGGTAGCAACTGCCTGCCAGAAAACTGTAGGCTCGTGGCCTCTGTCAGCTTAAAGGCATTTGTGTCTGGCCCAGCCTTTGTCATGGGCGTGCGCAGCCTTTGCTCTGTAGGCGTTGTTCCGAGCCTCACATAAAGCTACATACAGCCTCTGATGTAAACCTGCCCTTAGCCCGCCCACTTGTGGCAGGCACCTTTTGGCACCGCGGCGTTCCACGCCTTGGCCGCCAGTTTCCTGGGACTCCTAGAGTTGCCAGCCGCAGTTGCGCAGCCTGCCGAAGTCCTGTGTACAGACCCTGTATGGTCTATGGCCTCTGTGCAGGTGGATCACATTCCGCCTAGCATGTAGCTCATTAGCTGCGGGTAATACCCAGCTCCATCTACGGCTTGGGGCTCAAGGCTGCTGCACTCTCTTATTTTGTCAAAACTCTCTCTCTTTTGCTCTTTTGTCTTTAGTTACTCAAAACTCTTAATAGAACTGTTAGACACACCTTTGAATATTTTCTCAGCCCGAGGCCCGCAGTTACATGGCCATCGGCTATTGCTAGCGCGCTTGCTTAAGCTGGGTCCTGGGTCCTGTAACCTTGGGAACGGATTTTAGCCGGGAGCTAGCTGCGCCCAGCCTGTTCTCTTTGGCAAAAATTAAAGTTCCCTGCATGTGAGAGTCAGGGACTGAGTTTTAAAATAGTCTAAACAGTCTCTTGAGCTGTGTCATCTAATCCTGGTACCTAATCTCTTTACGAATTTTAGCAGCTGATTTGCCCACTGGCCTTCAGCTCTGGATCAGACCTTTTGGTACCCATACTTCTAAAAATCAAACTATTTCCCCTCCTTATCACGTGTGCACCATTGCACATCACAACACTGGCCAGATTCCGGATCGTGGAGGGACCCCTACCTCTTTGGGATTCTCGTGGTAGATCCACAGACGGCAGAACACTGTTCTTCAGTCCTTATTCAAAGCCCACCCAGGGACGCCATCTGTAAGCTTCCGCACTTTTCTGTGGCTACCCGAACCTCGAAACAGGCGCGCGCTTTCCTGACTCGAGCCCACGAGAACGGACGGCTGTCCTAGGGGTTTGAACAGACGACACACACACAAAGAGACCGGCTCATCTGCCAAAGAGCAAGTGGCAAATGGCAGCTTTATTAAGCATAAGTTGGGTATATATACTGTGGGGCAGAAAGACACCAGCCCCCCATCAGGATCAAGAAAAGAGAAAAGTCAGGGGGCCGCACCCAAGACACCCAAGGTCGGAGAGCAGCTGAACAGAGAAAAGAGGAAGCTAGGTGGGCGTGCTCAGGTTCAGGGACGAGCTGACCCGGGAACCTTGCCTGCGGGCGAGAACCTTGCTTGCAGGTGGAATTACCATGACAGTAGAGGGTGAGTTCTCTCTAAGCTACACCCTTGGGCCGTAGGTAAAATTAACATAACAGGAGAGGGCAGTTCTATGCTACACCCTCAAGCTAAAGCAGTGTAACCAGGAAGCAGAACAGCCCTACATAACACCTCGGGAAAAATGGGGAACCTGTGTACCTACAGTGAACCTGGCCATTTCACCCAGCGGGGATTTGGGCGCTGGAGCCCTGGTCACTACTTTGCAGGTTGCTGGTCCCCATGGCAGGTGGAGAACTGTGTGGGGACACAGGGATCAGGAAGGACTCTGGGTGTGGACACATGAGGACCACAGTGCCCACTGGTCTGGTCTTACATCCCTCCAGGGACATGCCTCCCAGGCTCCTCTGGAGTTATAAGTTATAGTGGCCCTGACTAAGGCCTTTTTTTTATTATTATTAATACTTTCAGATAAGTGTAGGGGCTGGAGAGATGGCTCAGTGGTTAAGAGCACTGGTTGTTCTTCCAGAAGACGGGGGTTCAGTTCCCAGCATCTACATGGCTGCTCACACCTGGATCTGACACCCCCACACAGACATATGTGCAGGCCAAACACCAGTGCACATACATGTTTTAAAAATAAATGTGCCTGGACCCACCTGTACACCTGTGTGTGGAAGCCAGTGGACCACCTCAGGCCGTACACCTCCTTTGAGACAGGGTTTGTTATTGGCCTGTAACTCACCAGGTCAGCTAGGCTGGCTGGCCATGTGGCCCCCAGGATCCTGCAGCCTCTGCTGCCCCAGAACTGAGATCGCAAATCCTACTACAACCAGCTCTCAGTGTATGAGCTCCTCAGTCCTCAGGCATCCGCCCCGCCTGGACAAAGATCCCAGTTAGTGATGAATGCCCAGGAGAGGCCACCCCAGGAGACCCTTGACAACTCCCCACAGCATCACACTGGGGACTGGCTGTGTAAGGGGCAGCCCACAAGGCTGGGGAACTGTCGACACTGCTGGCTGCCCTGCTGTGGGACGGGACGAGCAGGGGTGACCTGCGGCAGTTACCATGCAGTGACCTCACGTGCAGTATGAGGAGGCTGACCTGATCCATTCATGGGAACGTCTAGACGTGTCCCTCCACCCGTATTCTCCTCAGACTGGACGGGGGGATCCTTGGCAGTCATTCTGCAGGCGTGGGCCTCCGGATGCCAGCCTCCCCTTCCCCAGCCGTCCCAGAGCACGGAAGTGCTTGAGTCTCCATGTTTTGTGGTCTATTTATTGAGAAGCAGTGTTAACCCGATACAATCATCACTACTTGGCTGCCACGCATTGATGCTGTAATTGCACAGAGTATTTATCCACGGAAGGGAATGTTCTGGAACTCCCAGGCTTCGGGACGCTTAGAACAGGTTGGGAAGCAGTGCAGTGAGGTAGTTGTGTCCATAGCATGGCTGTGAAGGGCTGGGATCAGGGGTGGTTTTCCTACCCACCCACCTGCACAAACAGCCTGGCCTAGGTTTACACAGCAGGGTCCTATCGCAGCAAGCGCCTAATCCAGCAGCGGCCTGCCTCTGAGCAGCCTTAAGGGACAGCGACCCTCACTCCTTTCAAATCAAAAGACAAGCAAGGGATGGCACCCAGTGCAGCCAGGGCGTTTGGTGATTGGGCTTTCCAGCCATGAGGTCAGGGAACCATTTAGCCAGTGCACCCGCGAGAACAATCGGAATCCTCCCATCAAGAGCCCAGTGGATTCTGGATTTTGCCTCCAAACATATTCCTTTCTTTCATCCAAACAAAGTCAGATAAACAAAGACAGCATGGGTCACATCTGGGTGACAACGGTCACAGATGCTCTGAAATGAAGCCTCTGGTCATCCAATCCCCTCCACTTCGAGCTGGAACCAGAGCAAACAGCTGACTTGAGAGGAAAGGGACCTGCTGCTGGCCTGGCTCCATTTCCTAGGGCAAGGGAGACATAAACACTTCCGAACAAGAGCAGAAGCAGCAGCTGTGACAAGCATAACTGAGGCCACGGAGGGGCTCCAAGCTTATAAACAAGGTCATGGCAAACTGGGGTGACGGGGATGGACTAGCCTTGGACATCTCAAGTCACTCTGCGCCTACTTCTGAGTATGTCTGTAGACACTGGACCTTGGGTGAGTATGCAGGGCAAGTTCTAGGTCCTATGAGGAAGACGTCCCCATCTGGTCTCTGAAGCCCAGTGTTCACAGCAGGATACCCCGAGTGCTGTGCAGGGCAGCTACCATGCCGACAGCGACAACGGACACCACTGTCCTGGTTTCCTTTCCTTGCATTTGCAGTTCTCAGCTCACAGGCAAAAGGCGTCCCTCCTCTGACAACTAGACGCTCTGAGCTGCTCCCAAGGCCCCAAAGTACGCACTCAGTGAGACACTTGTCAAATGTTAAAAGAAAAGCTGGGACCTGCTGTTTTTCCTCCCACTTTGTTCAGGAGAAAGACCCTGCTTTCTCTTCTCTCGCTGCTACTGAATGAAGGTGGGCAGGCCACTGGTATGGTTTCTCTCGGTAACTCCGTTTATTAATTGTACAAAAGAAACCAAAACCAAAACCAAACCAAAACAAAAAAACCCCTTGGCATTCATTTGAAGAGAAGTTGCTATCACCAAATATTTAGTATTTTAACATTGTGAAACTTCTTTTTATAACAGGGCTTTTGAAAATGGAGAAAACTTTTGGAAAAATTTTTAAAAAGAAACTTATGATTTATTAGAGTACAGGATCCAAAACACATTTTTAGAAAAATATAAAGTGCCCAAATACCAACTTACATGGGTGATACAGGCTCCCTCAGCCAAACGAAGCCTTCGTGAAGAAACACGTTTAAAAACAGTCTAGGTACATATTTACATCAGGTCAGCTTTGATGTTTCTCTAGGAAAACGGAAATCAAAGCAGAAGCCCAACAATGGGAGCTCCCAGCATGCTCCGTGGCTGCTTAGAACAAGACGCGAGAGTGTGGATCTGTGTGGGTGGATTTTCACCTTGAAATGAGTGGTTGTAAAACCCTCCAGCCTCAGGCAGATGCTGAGTGGTTGGTCCAACTTCAAATGCGAGTTCAAACCCGCCTGAGTTCTGACTGGTGAGAAAGGACGCTAGACGAGAGCCACATCGGCTGAAGTCTCAGGTTTCCTGTCCTTCTAGAGACTGCCTATGGTCTCCCCTGTCATCCTGGGGCTGGCGACGGGCAACCAAGGAGGGCGCAGTCATCTAGAGTGCTGTGAGAATAGACATGCAGAAGCAGGCAGGCAGGCAGCCCCTAAAGCCCTGCTCACTAGAGCAACGGCATTCTAAATGCAGGGCAGAAGTACCTTCAGCCCAATGGACAGGCCAGTCTGCCTGAGAACCCGGTGGCCCCCACTGGGATCTACAAAAGGGTTAGTCCTTTCACACTCACTGGAGAGCATCAGGCAGAAGCCAGGGTGCCCCGAGGCTAGGTCTTATCCTGGAGACAGTGTCCTGGAGCCCAAAGCATGCATGCCTCTTCCCATAAACCCTACACTCTCCAAACGGAGAGTCTAATGTGACTCTAAGGGGTGAAAGGGTGTGAAAACTATTTCCCCAAGTTAGGCTTCTCTAGTTCATTTTCCTGATCGGATTACAAACCCATTCTCTAGGTCTTTGGGGACTAGGAGCTACAAGTTTTCAGAGCAATTTTCATCTGGCCCGCAGGCCTCACTAGGGGAACGGACCCATGACCGACCAACACTGGAGCGGATTCCTAAAATGACACAAGGAGTCGTAGTGAAGCAGCAGCTGACGACTGGAGAACTGGGAAAGGCGTTGCTGTGCGTTTGCTCGGAGAACCAACGGAAGAAGACGGAAGCTCACGGTGGGCAAAAATGTGCACAGACCCCAGTGGGAGAGAAAGGAGACGATGCTGTTCGATCTCCCAATTTAAATTAAAAGGGGGGAAAAAAGGAACACTTAAAATATGTGTTTCATGTGTTAGCAAAAAAATTAATTCTACTCATTCTGAGTCCCATCTCCATGCCTTCATCTGAATACAACCAAACCCAAAGCAAAGGGGCAGGTAGCCCTGACTCGGGGTGTCCAAGCTCCAGAGAGAGCAGGAAATGTGGACCCCATCTGTCCAGCTGGAGAAACGATGACACAGTGTGAATGGAGACAGGGGTGGGAGGGGATGAAAGAACAGAGTGTGGACGGTGACACCTCATGAAGACAGAATGTCACACACTGTCACCACGGGACAAGCAGACAAGCCATGCCACTGGACACGGTGCCTTTCAACTGATTCACTAGTGTAGCGGAGAGCAGCGCTGTCTCTGTGGCCGGAGGAGCACACACCGTCTAAACTGGGGAGGCAGCCAAGGCTGCTGGTGAAGTGGCTGTCCTGTGCTGACTCCAAGGGGACCGGCACTAGTCCTTCAGGAATCCTTCCCCTAGAAGGTGGCGGCAGCAGCAGCAGCAGAGGTGCATGTCCTGAGTCTACTCGGCCGTGTCCTCCTTTGCACTGTAAATGTTCTGCACGGTCTCGTACACAAACTCCAGGTCCTCGGGGTACCGGATCTCCAGCTCTGCATTTGGGATGTAGTGCGTGCCTGTGAACTCTGAGAAGTAGCGTCCCACGTCCGGATGTGAGATTTCCTGAGGCTCCACGTTGTATTCCAGGTTCTCTGTTGGTAAAGAGGTGCCGGACACCACTGTTAGCATTTTCCTCTCTGCAGGGCTCTCTGCAGAAACCCTCCTGCCACCCCTTCCAGCGCGCTTTTGAAACAGAGCAAAGGTTACCACCAGCAACATTTTCGTATTACAGTGACTCAAGAGGAAAAGGCAGAGGTGGCTGCTGTGGGGAGGAATGCTGACATAGGTCCCCTTCCCCATGGCTCTGCTCCAAAGACAGCTTTCTATTCTCTGAGTGGAATATTTGGCTCCAAGAATCCCAGCAGTGCCTCTGGAGTACTAACTGTGCCTTCATCTGGCTTAGCAAGAAGCTGGAGCACCAGACAGATGAGCCTCACCTGAACTTGGCTGCTCAGAAACCGCCCTACCATCTTTTATAAGTCTCAGACCTGCCATACCTGTCCACAGAGCAGAGCCCCTGCCACAGAACCACTCTTCTCCACCAGAGTTCCTGCATTTGGGGCTCATACTTCCTGGGCGAGCTGGCTGCTGCAGTGGCACCCACATCCTGCTTGGCCCCTAGGAGAGCCTGGCTGCCTTCTCCCCGATCTTGACTTTGCCATAGGAAAAGGGACAGAATACGATGTCTACAGTGGAGGAACAGATCCTTCAGGTGTCTCACTGAAAAGCCAAAGGTCCTTCTTCCTGTCTCAGGAACAGAAGTCAGTGGCCCAGAAAGTCTTACTGCTGTGAAAGTTCCCTGAGAGAGGAGGTGGCCATGCAGAATCCCCATGATTCGTTTCCAGGCCAGGGCAGATATGGCTCTGCTCCCGAATTATTCCTGGGCAAAGCTTGCCACAAGCAGCACACAGGACAGCCCTAGACACCCAGAGGCCCTCCTAGAATGGACTGTCCCTGCACTTGTCTCTGTGAGAGGTGGGCAGGGTGGCCAGCCTGTGTGTTTCCCTTTAAGGGTCTGGGGAACTGTGATGCACTGCTTTGGGGTCTCCACAAGAAGCAAAGTTGCTGGGACGTCACCAGCGCACGGAGGCCCTAGTGCAGGCCAGGACAGAGGGTGCTGGGTCAGGGAAAGCATTCCCTGAGAAAATACTGAGAGACCTGGTCATTCTAAACTGCAGCTCACCTTTGAATCTGGAGCTAGCCTTGGCCAGTCCCAAAGCAGCCTCACAGTGGCCCTGTCCTGGCCCCACCCCACAGAGAGACCCTTGCACAGGGAGGGATCTGCCTGAGGGCTCTGGGCAAGGCAGACCCAGGAAGTGTAGAGCTGAAGGGAACATGTGCATGCCTGGAGGACTCCTGCCTACACACCAGCAAGCCTGGCCGGCCCACCCCGCACACTCAGTCACTCCACACTGACACGTTTCAAAGGCTGTAGCTGGGACAGACTGACAAAAAGAAAGGGAACTAAAATGCCCCAGCGACTGTTTCACAGTACTGCCCAGTAGTGCCTGTGCTGCTCAGCGCCAGAACCTGCTCTTGGAGCCCTAGCCATGTTCTCCTGGGGCCCAGCAGACCGGGCCAGGCCAGTTGCCAAGGCCTCATGTCTCATACAAAACACCAGGGAGAACAGGAAGTCTTGGCCCTCCAGGAAAGGAAGACCCATGTTCCCAAGGAGCATGTGGCAGTGCAAGCAGGATGGGAGAAGTAAAGCCAGTTCAACTCTAGTGGGCACCTGACCCCTACTTTGAGGCTAGTTTGTCTAGTGTAGTGGGGTTCCATGGGACACTCTAACCCCCAGAAGGCTGTGTGGCCAAGGCGGAAGGTACTTCCAGTGATCAGAGTTGGGGCTGCTCTGGCTTGCAGTGGGGGAGTCCAGGGGTACTGCTGAGCACCCACAGGCGATTATCTTGTTCACTGCCCATCTGCTCAGGTGAGATGTCCTGCTCCACAGGAACTCCTATACTGTGCAGCCCCGGCCACAGCTGCCCGTCCTCTAGATGCTGAACAGAGGCCAGTGCAGGGAGTCTTGGCCTCTGTGGGCTGCAGCTCTGTGGGATGACACAGCCAGGTAGCTGCTGCAGGCTTCTGAATACGGTTTCTAACAAGAGGCTGCTCTGGAAACCCAGGCAACAGCATGGCCAGAACCGGGGAGCTAACAGCACAGGCTCTAGGCTGTCCAGGTGTCCGGGGCCCACCTCCAGCTGGACTTGGGCCCTGGCCTGCTGGCCCTCGGGCCTGCTGTGGAGCAAAAGAAGAGACCTTAAAACAATCTGTTCTGTGGTTCTGGGACTGAACTCAGGGTCTTGTGCTTGCCAGGCGAGCACGCTACACTCAAGCTGCATCCCCAGCCAGGTTTTATGTTTACTTTGATACTAAGCTGCCCAGGCTGGCTTCAAACTAATGTCCCTCCTGCCTCCCAAGTGCAGGGCCCACACCTGTGCACCCCAGACACCGGGACTAAATGACTTCTTACAGGAGAGAAGACAGTGAAGAAGCTGGTGCTTGTGCATCTGGAGCAAACATGTCCCCTGATATGCCCCTAATATAACGTACTCTAAGAATCACAAACACTTGCGGTTTTCAGAGAAATACAGTTGCTTATTTAATCGAAAACCTGCAGACATATACTTGGAAACACCACCTTGAGTCCTCTATGGGCGCCTGGTCCAGTGCCCTTCTTGGGGGGACAACAGCAGAGTGTGTCCTTTGACCCTTGGCATGTCCTGCACACCCTGAAGTATGGTGTTCATTTCTGCTGCTATCTGTATTAGATGCACACTAAGCATTTATCTGCATCGGGCTGTCTGCTACTCAGCATTCTAGAGACATACACTGCTCCACTGTCTCAACAGGGACTACCAACCTCCTGGTACTAAATGTGGATGTGGCCCTAGTCAAGGGGACATGGGGTGGAGCCACCAGGCAGAAGACTGTATGCCTGAGGGACTTAGCACTTAAGAGACAATGGCAGGCCAATGAAACAGCTCAGTGGGTAAAGGCACTTGTCACCAACCAACTCAAAGACCTCAATTTGGTGCCTGAGACCCATGTGGTGGAGAGAACCAACTCCCACAAGCTGTACTCTTCTCTCTCCATGCACACCACCGCTGATAGCCATTTTACCAAATAGAATCTAAAGAAGAGAAGGCCAAATGGCCTCGTGAAATGACCAAGCGTCACTTTATACCTTGTCCCAGTACCTTGCGTGGCAGCAGGAACAGACTGTGGGGCTGGGGAGTAGGAGCAGCGTAGGAGTGACCACCAACAGCCACCTGGTGACAGACACCTCTCACGACTCATAGCAGCAGCCCTGAACTAAGGGTCAGGAGTCAGGTTGTACAGCGTGCTCCCCCTAGTGGGAGCAGAGAGCCAAACACAAGACTCAGGAATTCTGACAGGCTTGTCACTCTCCAGTGCCCCGAGGCCTGCGACTAAAGAGGCATCACTAATGACCTCTACTCAGGGAACTAGAATCACTTACAATCAGCTCAAAAGAAGTGAAACAAATAATACAAAATGTCTGAAGAAAGGAAACCTAAGGAGGAGTTCAGAAGTGTAGCTTGTTGGCCACTGAGACAGCGCGGCGGGGTCCCTCCGGAGGACCCACGGTCTCTGCAGGCACGGCACTCACATTGCACACCCACACAGACAATGTAAACACATAATTAAAAGTAAAGTAGTCATTTTAAAAAAATGTAGCTTCTCAGACTTTTGAGGTGATAGCTGAGTGGGTAAAAGCATATGCTATGCAAACCTGAGGACTCAAGTTCGATCCCCAGAACCCATATAAAGGTGAGAGAGAACCAACTCCATAGCATAGTCTCTGACCTCCAACATGTGTCTTGGAACATGTATCTCCCTGCTCATGGCACAAACACACAATAACAATAAAATTTTCTAAAAAAAAAAAATTAAAAATCTAGCTCATCAAGGTGTCCATCTTGTGGCTGTGAGCGTCAAGATGTCTCTAGTGACTACTACACACTGGAATAAAAATCAAGAATCTGGCAGGGAGCAGGAGGTAGGAAGGTGGAGGCTGGAGTATAAGGCGGGGGATTTCAAGTCACTGCACAGGGAGCAAGGGCAGCAGACACTCCGCAAGCTACAATGCTCCCGTGTCAGTCGTGGACCAGGTGTTAGGGCAACCACAGTGTCACAGGTCTCTGGGGAGCGACATTCACTGAACACAGAACAATCCCACGGACTTCCTGATGATGGCAAAAGCTGAGTTACCTCTGGCTGAGCTCAGCATCATGGAGGGTAGGACCAGAGCCCCGGTTCCTCTGAGTGCGGTGACATGGGAAGCACAGCATTCCCATGGGGTGGGGCAGTGACACCCAGGTAGTCAGGCCTCAGATGTCACTGTCCATCCACAGACAGAACAGGTAAAGAGACAAGTGAGCTGAGCTACAAGCTCAGACGAACCCAAGGCAACCAGGGCCTGGAGACGGACAGTGAGAAGCCGTTCTCAGGCAAAGGGCTTTGCAAAGGGATAGCACTCCAGCGGAGCCATCTGGCTAGGGCTGGTTAAGCTGTAAGGGGCCATCCTGTGGTGACAATGGGCAATGGGAAAGCTGATGAAACACAAGCTATCAGTCACGTGGTTTGGTGTGCTGCTGCGTTCCTAGTGTGCCATGAGGCAGGGGCATGAAATGTCCTTCAAATACTGACAAAAAGGCCTGCATCTCTAGTCGCTGAAGAAACAAATACAGATGAGGCTCCCACTGCCTGTGAACGGGGCACCACATGGGGTGCATCTGCGGGAGCAGGCAGGGTGGAGCAGCAGTTCAGCTCACTAGAGACGGGCTGGCCCAGGAAGGTGAGGGGGCGCACACGAGTGGCTATGCAGTTCTCTGTCACCGCTGCACCCCACAGTCACCACCCGCAGCCCTCAGGAGACGCCATGGTCCTGTGGCCAACAGAAGGGCCTGGAACCCAGCCAGAGCTAACACAATCACAGCCACTCAACATCACTGGGTCAATGGCCACAGACTTCGTTATTTTCTTTGGGATTCTCAATGCTGACAGCAAACTACTGTCCCATGTGTTCTGCAAATGCAGTGAGGTGTTCTGAGGTTCAGAACAACTAAAGCTGAGTGCCCAGTTTACAAACTACATCAAAAAAACAAATTAAAGGAAAACTGTTTCTAGAAACCTCAGCCCCCAGTTTAAAGATGCTCACCCCTATTCTGTGCTGACTAGACAAGTGCTGCACCGGGACCGCCACAGCCAGGAGTCAGACTGACGACAAAGGCCCCCCTCACCTGTCATGGAGCAAAACCCCAGGACAGTTTTAAATCACGGTGACTTTCAGAAAAGGAAAGTTTCAAATTTTACCCGACTCAGCTTCAAAAGCTGAACGCTGCCCTGGGGGAGCCTCTGTTCAGCCCCTTTACTTTACTCAGGAACCCATGGAGGTGAGATGCCACAGACATACCGCACAGGTCCTCCTGGCCTCAGACGGGTCACAGTCACTCATGTGGAGACTCTTCCTGCCTTCTGAAACCCTGACACTCCACCCCTCAGTACTGTTAGCACTGTGTGTGTAGGGCAAGCCTGACGGTTCAGGCCACAGTCTATCACCAAGCTCCTGGTTCCAGGTAATCACTCCAGGTTCTGCACGTATGAAATGCTGAGCCTGGGTTCCAAACAGACTCAGTACCCATGAGAGCACACTGTTTATCACATCTGTATCCACACTCCCTCTTATCCTGAGTATTCCTTGCTGGCCAGGTGTGTGAAAATCAAAAGGGACACAGACAAAGGCTCACACTGCAGTCTTTGATATGACTTGTCCGCTCCATCTATCCCCAGCTCAGGGGCTGGCCCGTCAGGTTGGCCATGGCCACAAATGCCTACCAAAGGTGACCAAACACACAGGGATTGTACAGGGGACTGAAGTTTCCACCTGTGGCCACTTGAGGGCGACTGAGGCCTGCACTGCTAGAATGAAGGCCAGGGATACATGCAGTTAGGAGTCTGGCTGGTGAGGAGCTCTAGAGAAGACAGCCAGGACCTCATGTTGGTGTGCCTGTGTGTGACTAGCTGTGAACAGCTGCTGAACACACTGGTGAGCTCTGCCCACAGCATGGTCAGCCAGGCACAGGTGGAGGGACAGCAAACACCTCACCTTGGGCTGCATATCTGCAGGAGCCATCCTCCACCAGAACGTTGTAGAAGGGCTGATGGTGGCCATGAGGCAGGCTGTGCACGTTCATGTTGCGAATCCACTCGTGCCCCATCATGCAGGTGGGGTCCCAGCCATAGATCACACAGTTGTAGCCGTACCTGTGGAGCACCAGAAGAGGGTAAGTGAGCTTCTGGGGAGCCTCAGAGCTGTGGAGGAGGCAGAAGAGCCTGGCTGGGGTTCTTTCGTGCCCTTTGTTTATTACCTGCTTTTATCCCAAGTGGAGTCACTTTTCAGAACACCCTGACCCTCTTCACAAATCCTCCTCTTACCACCAACAAAGAACTTTATCTGGAAAACAACCTTGTTTGTTTGTGTCTAGACAGGCTCTCACTATGTAGCCCTGGCTGGCCTCGAGCTCACAGAGATCTGCCTGTCTCCAAAGGTGTGCACTGCTATGCCTGGCTATAGAGAAACTCTGAAGCAGAGCAAGAGGCTATCTTTGGTAAGATGAGGGTAAGAGTAAGAAGGGAGCCCTCCCTCCCTCCCTCTCTCCCCCTCCTTTAGAGAGGTCAACTGAATGGCTAGGGTCAATGTGCGCAACATCAGCCTCATTAGTCCAGAATTGAGGAAGAGGAGGTGGTTGTGTGTTCACTGCTGAAGCCAGGACACCAGAAGCTGAGCTGCCTCGTGTGCCCTTCTCTCCACTCTTACATGTTTGGAAATTTCCCTAAGAGAGCTAAGAAGAAAGCATTCACTAAATGAATGGAAATCACAGCCCCTAACAGGGAAGGCATTTGCTGGTTATCCTCGCAAAGATAATGGAGGGGTGGGGAGAAGCCAGATGTCAGCAAAGAAGACCATGTGGTCAGACAGAACCACCTTTGCCAGTGAGGGAGTCCTGAAGATGGAAAAAACATGACCAAGTGCCACCTGCTGCTGGGTTTATGAGCACACCCAGGGCATGCTGCAGGGTAGTGATCACAGCTCCACAGCTCCAGCACCATGGAGTTAGATTCTGCCTGGTCAACAGACATGGGTAGAACTAGAGCTCAGGAAAGCTCCGCTAACCCAGATCAGAGGTGGCAGGGAACGGAGAAGGGACAGCAGAAGGAGGAGCTGTGACCACAGCTCAGTGAGTTTCTAGCTTTTCAGTCCTTAGGCTCAACTCCCAGCATCATACAAACTCTAGGAGCAGTCAGAGTCCATGAAAGACATTACGCTTCAATTAGAAGCAGGGTGCAGACAGGGCCATGCTATCTCGCCTGTGGTAGGTGCTCGGTGAAATGACCGGAGGTACCAGGGTGTGCCTCTGGGATCCTCTTCCCTCTGCGGTGTGGCTGTTGCCCTGGCAGCCCGTGGACAGCCACAGAGGCCAGGAGCAGGTACTCACCTCTTGTGCTTCATAACGAGCCCGATGGAGTAGCAGACATCTCTGTGCTTCTCCTCAGAGCGCAGCTTCACCTCCACGCCTACCTCCTCCTTCTTGCGCTCAATGTGCTCTAGTGTGTGCTGCACTAGGTAGCCCACCGCCCCGTGCTGCCCGGGGTCGAGGGTCTGGATGTGCTGGAGGATGTCAAGCACCTTCAAGACAAGACAGAAAGACTAGGAGATAATATTTTCGCCAGGCCTTTTCTTTTCCGAAGCGTAGGATAGACACCTACCCGTGTAGCCTGACAAAGACCAGCGACAGCATGCCACTTGTGGACCAGGAGTCATAATGGCCCAAAGTATGGAAACCATTCTATCCTGTCATTCTTGCTTTAAGAGGAGAAAACCCCATGACCTCTTAAGAAAGGCAAGAAATCTCAAGAAATGCTTGGCAGAACTGTCTCAGTGCACGGCAAGTTGCTTCTAATTAGATGTCACTCACGGGATGAGGCAAGCTTACAAGCCTCTGGATGGCAGCATAAGCAGTCACCTTTGCAGAACTGAGGCTGGCAGCAGGAGCAGAGCTGCTCACAGTGCTTCCCCTAAGTCAGGCTCAAGCACAGTGTGGTGATGCACACCAACATGCTTGGACCCACTCACTCCAGTGAGCCTGAGCACAGCACACATCAGTCCCTTTTGCTTTACTGAGTCCTGAGTTGGACCAGCTTAACAGGACAGGTGACCTCAACTCTAGGCCTAGACCAGTCAACCAGCTGCTTCTCTTCTGAGCTACTTCCTGTCACACTGACAACCAGATACCTCCACAATTATTCTTAAGTCTACCCTCACCTTCCAAAGCAGTGTAGTAGCTCCTGGTAATTCTTGGTGAAGAACTGGATGCCTATCAGGTGTGGTACTGCACAGCCACTATTGATTTGCAAGAAAGGAATTTGGCTCAGTGAGTTTAAATGCTGGTCCAATAGCCAGATGATTACAAAGACATGGCCCTAGGTATGATCCTCGGCCCATGGTCTCAACTACCATTGTGCCAGGGAATGATAATAGAATTATTTTAATTACTGTGATGCAACTTAACATGAAAAACAGCAGGCAGAGTGTCAGTACCCAAACACCCCAAAGCTTGCTTCAACAAAAATCTACCAGAAACCAGTCCCTGTTTATATCCCACCTCCAGGAGGGGGGCTCTTAAAGTGGGGTGCTCAGGGCATTTGTCTTTTGCAGCTGAGAGCATCCCACCTGACAGTGAGCTTCTGTGAATTCTGCCAGAAACAATGGCTGTCCTTGTATGTCCCGGCAGAGGCACCAGCACCTCTGCCACTATGCATACAGCCAGACATGGACTCTTCAGGGCACAAAGGTGGCCCACACTCAGACTATAAGACAGAGAGTTTTGGCTCCTTGCATGGATGTGTGAGGTTGAGGGTGTGGGTACATGTGACTTGGACCTGGTGTGTTTACAAAGGACAATGCTGACAGTGGACATCATGTTCCCAGCCAAAGCTACAAGCCTTGGCTGAACACAGTGACTTACATCTATAATCCCAGCACTGGGAAGTAGGATCAAGGTCAGAGCAGGTTACATACTATATCCCTGTTTCAAAAACATTAACAAGCCACAATCCACCCAAATAAAAAACAAACAAGAACTCACTCCTGTTCAAGGGCACTCCCTTCCACCACTCCTCCTCTGGCCAGACAGCAACACAGACGCTGTGGCCCAGCTCCCACAGAAGACAGCCCCAAGTCCACATATCCACTGACAGGCAGCTCCAAGCCCACCAGTCCACTGCCCTGTGTGCATGAGTCCTGCCTGTCCACAAAGTCTCACTCTGAGCTCTTGGTTCTCCTTGGTTGTTTGTTGGTAGACTGTCTGCTAGCTGCAGGTGGGTGGGGAACGAGCCCCTGACAAAGGCCACAGAATGCTGCTTGCCCTGGGTGGTCCTAGGCCAGTTCTACACAGCCTGCCATGGCACTGTCTCCCAGCCCAAACAGCCTATTCTTTAAACAGCCACTTCTGGAGTGGAACACTAGCCTCACGTTGGAAAGTCTGTAGGCTCTGGGAGTCTCCTTCATTCACATCCAAGGGAACTACATACAGTCACCCAATCATTCCTGAACAGGAGCTTCTCTGGGCACCCTTTACATGCCAAGACCAGGCTGTGAGCACAGAGAATAGCTAGTGGGGAGCACACTGTGTACACCCTGTCCTGGGGGAACTTGGTCCAGTGTAAAGAGGTTGGGACGGCAATGGAGTTGCGAGGTAAACAGAGGGGAATGCAGCATGTGCAAGGTGGACACAGCAGGAGTGCATTACTCCTCCTAAGAGGGGCATGGGGATGGGCGCGGGCACACATGCACACCACACCACACCACACAGATGTGGGACATGGACAGTCAGGCAGGTAGGATGGAACCACGGAGAATTGTGAGTCACCATCCCCAAAGCAGCAGGAAGCCATTCAGAGACCCGTCTGTCCTGTCAAGACCCTGACTGCCATGCACATGACAAGAAGGCAAGCAGGGAGACCATTGGCCATGTCTTCCCTCCCCTGTCCAGGTATAAAAGAGGATTGAAGGAAGACCCTGGGACAGTCCACAGGGTAGAAGAATCCTAGGGAGCATCTATGTGTAAAGTCTCACAAGGAGACCCAGGAAGAGACCAGAGGAGCCTGGGAACCAGTGGTCATGTAGCAGGCGGAGCATTGGAGAAGCAGGAGAAAGGACAAGGCCACGCAACAGAAGAGCAGCTGGCCAGAACAGGGCCTGGGGGAGGGCTGGGAGTGTACAGGAGCAAAGGTAGGTGGTGGGCAGTGGACAAGTGTGTGGTAAACATGCAGGGAGTAGATGGAGGGTGGCCACAGGGGAGCCCAAAGGGCTCATTCCAGGGAAGGGAGGAGGGGCGCTACCTGTGCTGCAGAGAAAACATGTGAGTCACAGTGCACTGGGGCTCTCTCTGGCAGCACTAAGTGCAGGAGCTGCTCCTTAGCCACGGTGACCCTCAGGGTGACCCCTGCAGTGGACTCAGTGCACTGTAGACTTGGAAACAGTGCCACAAGACAGCTGAGAGGGCAGAGGGCGGCTTTCAGCAGACGCAGTGACTTTCACAAACATGACCACCTGGCTCTACCCTCCCACCACAGCCTCAGGGACCAAGAGGATGGGTTTTGCAGCTCTTCCCGACTTCACAAACTAGAAAGAGAAAAGCGAGGCAACCTGCAGGTGTCCTGCTGCTCAGGGACAGGTCATCTGTAACAAAGAGCCCATGTCCCACAGGCTGACCCACCCTTTGAGCTCCTTCTCCTCCAGAAGTGTCTAATGACATGAGCACTTACGGACTTCTCTGATGGTCTTGGGTGTTAACTTCCTAAGTTGGTCACCATGAATTGAGGTGGGGTCCTAGCTCAGAACAAAAGGACTGGGTCCAGATGTTCCACCAGGCAGTATGTGCCAGAAGAAAAAGGGACCTGGTTTGAGTGAAGCTGCTCCCCAGTGGGAGGGTCCCCAGTGGAACTACGAGAGTCAATTGTACACTATGAAGACAGCACTGAGCATTTCAATCACAAAGGCCCAGTGACAGGCTATTCCCATGACTGGACCTGCTACTCAACTGAGACAGCTCAGTGAAGGACCTTTTGCTCTCTCCTTCCTGACTGCTCCCGAAATCCCTCAACAAACAGAACTGGCTGAACAAACTCAAAGGATTAAACCCTGGGCTGCTGCGTGGGCGACAGTCCCCAGGGTGCACTCCTCCAGAGCACTTGTCTGTTTGGCCATGGGAGACATCTTTTCTTAAGGAATCAGGAGTACCCATGTCTGTGACCCAGTATATATCCTTACAGCCATGAACTGATGACCCAGTATAGCCACTTCATGAGAGCATTTACTTTCTTTTTAAAAATAAATGTTAAAAGATTTTATTTTTAATTATATGGATATGTTCGTGTGGGGGGTGGGAGGTGGGAGGGTGCATGAGGCCAAAGGAGAGCACTGGATCCCCTGGAGCTGCAGTTACAGGTAGTTGAGGGCAGCCATGTGCATGCGGGAACTGAACCTCAGGTCTTCTACAAGAGCAGTAAGTACTCTTAAATAGCCGCACCATCTCTCCAGCCCCCAGAGATTTACTTTCTGCAGAAAGACCCTTCCCATCCCCGCTGAGGCTCAGAACAAATGCCCTTGTTTCTAAACAAGCAAATGGCTTGACGGCCTCTTTCCAGACCAAGGATGGGAGGGGAATGGGCTAGACTCTGACACTCAGATGCACACAAGACTGCACGCGGGGAACCCAAAGCCAGCTCTGGGCTCCACAGCAGCTTCCTCATGGCACTCACTGCCAGATGTGGGGATTATAGCACGAGCAAACCCAGAACCAAACAATAAGAAGCCTCAGCCGGCCTCCGGATCATCCCATGTCCAACAGCTGCAGCAAAGCCAGCCCCTTGTCCCACCTCTCCCTGCAGAGTCAGGTGACTCTAGGGAAGCACCATGGGGGGGGGCAAGAGACAGGACAGGAGCTTTGTGTCCAGTGCTCAGGGGTCATTCCTGGTGACAGAACCAATGCTTCTCAGAAGACAGAAAAACATTTCATTAGTGGGCCAAGACTGGAGACGGAACAAATTTGAACTTACTCCCTGGAACAGGAGGATGACCTTGGTCCAGCTATAGCTTTCCTCTCTAAGGCAAGGGCTGAGCATCAAAGTAAGATAATTACCTTCTCTGGCCAGATGCCCAGGTGGAAGTAGAGTCTGGCCTGGAGGAGCAGGAGCTGCACCTGGTCCGGGTACATTGCCAGGTACAGGTCCAAAGAGTCTCTGAGGAGCTGGTAGGACTGGTCAATGCCTTCCCTGGGGAGAAGAAATTACCGTTGCCTCAATGTGGGCTTCCCAATAGAAGTCTGTAACTGATACAGACTCCCGAGGCTTTCTGAGTACGCTGCTCAGCACTGCGAAGACCACATTAAAGCTGCCCTTGCTGCGCAGTCAGCTCAGCAGCACACAGACCCAGAACCGCAGAGCTGACACCAAGAGACGTGAACCCTGGTTAGACTTGTCAATGCGGGGTCACCACTTGTAACAAGTGTCTGCTCCGGTGCTGGGGGGTGGGGAGTGGACAAGCTCCATTCACATGAGGACAGGAGGTTATATGACCCCTCTGCGTTTGCTCACTCATGTACCAACTGACAACTGTTCTAAAACAGCCTATTAAAAATGGGTTCTGCTAGGTAAATCCTATTAGGCATCAGGAAACTGGTTGCATCATACAATTTCCCAGAACAGGTTTCCTTGAACTATGGAGCAAAGTTAACCTCAGACTCTGCTCTCTTATAGGAGGGTGTAAGGTCAGAGATCACAGCACCTAGACAGGAGGACACCACCTCTGCTACTCTAAGACACTGACTTCAAAGAATGCCTTCAGTGTCTGAGAGAACTAAGACCACTGCAAACATCAGAGGGTGGCTACTCGGCACCAACAAATACATGGCTGATGTCCCAGAAGCAGTTACCACAGGGCAGCTCATTAAAGAAGCTTCTCGTTTTTGCACAGAACCCTAGAAAGAAGGCCCACACTGCGCAGGAGCAGTGGAAGCCAGGCCCTCACCTCTTGCCCAGGCTCAACAGGTTGCCCACCATCCGTTGCAGCACTTTCTTCACATTCACCACGCCGTATAAAGCCGCTGTCACGTGCTGGCCAATCAAGTACTCACACTCCTTCACTGTGAGTTGCTTGCCCTTCCCAAAAGCATCTATGTAGATGTAGTCAAAGATGTCCAGGGTTGCCCTGCCCAAGGAGAGCCAAGAAGTCACAATTATAGCCCTGAAGGAGGAGTCCAAGGTGGAGGTCACAGCACCATTTTACTGCTTTCACCAATAACATGAAGGCCTTGGAGAGTTTGACACCTGATTCTCAACAGAGCCTTGGCTGTGGTGACCGTACTGCCCTGTTCTCTACAGACAGAGGGCAAGGAAGACGGCTCAGTGGGTAAAAGTGCTTGCTGTCAACACTGACCATCTGAGTTTGATCCCTAGGACTCATACGGTAAAAGGAGAAAACTGACTCTAACAAGCTGTCCTTGATTCTACATGTATGCTGTGCATGCACACACAGTGATAATAAACACACAAACAAATAGGTGGCAGAGGGAAACACGCTTACTGACTGACACTAGCCAGAGCCCTACAGCCCTGAGTCAGGAGTTCAAAGAACAATGACAGAAAGACATGGGACATGATGACCAAGATGGACGCTAACAACCGAATGGCAAACAGCAGCCTGTCTGGGGATCTGGGGCCTACATGGACCTAAGAAAACTTAAGGACTCGCAGCCCAGGATGTGGTCCTCCTCTGCCCACACAACCTCAGGCTGGATCTGCTCACATTCTCACAGCACTGCCAAGTGTGTTCTGGAAGGCTCAAGGAGTGCTGGGGACAGCAGCTTCTTCTGAGCAATCTTGATCCCATGCCCACCACAATCACATAACATTTTCTCTTTGGCCGCTAACTGTCTCAGTTGGATTTCTTTCCTGAGTCGTGTTCATAGCCCACTTTTGGCAAAGACTTGAGACTTATATAAATGTTCTAAAAGAGCACAGAACTTGTCAGCATTTGCTGCACGGTCAGAACTTCCTATGATAAGCATACAAGAGTGACAAGCCGAGGTCATCACGATGTAAAACACACAGACAAAATGTGCATGGGGCTAAGTGCTAGGGCTTTTTTCAAAAATATACCTGGATTAATTGTGCCCCAGGAGTATACAGCTGGACACAGAAGATCATTTCAGGGACAGGTAAACCTCAGTGATAAGGCATAGTTCAATCTGCAACACACGCACAAATCAAACCCCCCAACAAAATCCAAACAGCTACTCCTACACATAGAGACCAAAAGTGAAAAAACATGTACAGATAATAAAAAATACATCCTTGAAAAAAATATCTAATGTCTACATATGTGTACAACTCAGCAAAATTACCCAAACACAGTAGTGCATGACTTCAATCCCAGGGCAGAGGCAGAGGCAGAGGCAGGAGGATTTCTGTGATTTGGGGGCCTGTTTGATCTATATTGCAAATTCCAGGTCAGCCAGTGCTACAGAGTGAGGCCATGTCTCAATATACAAAACAGCAAACATCAAACAAAAACTTTACAAAATTAGAAATTCAGAAGGCAGTTTTGATGACATCAATGAAAGATGTCACACCAAACAGCAAGCTAATGTGGAAGGGAGAAGCATTATGTCTCAGTGGTAAAGGAGCTTGCTGCCAAGTCCAAGGCCCTGAGTTCAACCCTGGGACCAGAAGGAAAGACTGACTCTCCCACAACTTGTTAACCCACCCCCCCGCCAAATACACACAGAGTTAAAAAACAAAAAACAACAAAAATCTTCAAAAATCATCCTGAGGCAAGGGTACTGCGATCTGTTTCTGCTCTGTGGTCAACAGCATACAAAGCCAACATACTAAGCTAGAGATAACAGAACAGCACTGTTCAGACACTGTGATGTGTCACTAAAAGCCAGACCTACAAACCATCCCTATGGAAGACTCACGCAGCCAAGCCCTGAAGGCCAGGTCTGTATACAAGTAACAGCCAAAGCTAGAAACAAAACACTTGGTAGCTCAGGATAACCCTAACACAGTCGTGTGAAGAGGGCAAACAACTTCCTGGTGATGGACTCCCAGAACCAGTCACAGACAGCAGGAGGCTGCAGGATCTTCACCTTAGAGCCAGAACCAGCTAGAACCAGCCAGAGGCAGTTTTGAGCTTCAATCAATATTCAAGCAGAATTTTTTGTGTTTGTTTTCTTGTTTGATACAGGGGCTAGACTGTAGCTCAGGCTGGCCACAAACTCCTGCCTCAGCCTTCCACTCCACACAGGCCTCCTAAGTTACCTGATAAACTGATTCTCAATCCGTATGGAAAACTGAAAGCTAAGAACAGCTAAAGCACTTTAAGATCTGAACGGTGGGTCTTGTGCCGCCAGTTAGGAGGGCTCAGAGTACAGCATGGGCAGGGAGGATGGAGCCCAGGTATGAACAAGAGTTGTGCATATGCCAGCATGGCCACTGGTGGCTCAGGCTTTTACAGTTCCCTGTGTTTGTTTCTGCCACCTCTCTGGGTCCTTGAGTGAAGTGATTCTCCCACCTCAACCTCGCAAGCAGACAGGACTTCAGGTACTAACAAATTATTGCACTGTTTAAGTCTGGAGTGGTGGCTCAGCTCTGTAGCACTCAAGGTGAGAGGCTGAAGCAGGATTCCAAGTTCCAGGACAGCCTAGGTAGCACAGTGAGTTATTGTCTCAAAGAATCGACACAGTAAAAAAATAAAACTCATACTCATTTGTATTATAGAGAAAGATACTATTTCCATACTGAAGACTGCCTTTAATAAGTCACTAACGTGGGGCTGGAGAGATGGCTCAGAGGTTAAGAGCATTGCCTGATCTTCCAAAGGTCCTGGGTTCAATTCCCAGCAACCACATGGTGGCTCACAGCCATCTGTAATGGGGTCTGATGCCCTCTTCTGGCCTGCAGGCATACACACAGAGAGAATATTGTATACATAATAAATAAATAAATTAAAAAAAAATAAGTCACTAACGTGCATAAAGGACCTTACACTAGAAATGAAATGAGCCAGAAATGCTCAGATCATGCAGGACCCTTAGTGGATGTTACATGGGTATCTTACAGATGCACAAGGAGATAGGTAAGTTTACCAGGACTGCAAATGAGCTTTCTTATTAAATACAATAGGAAGCAGACATCCAGATTGCAAACACTAACCTACTGGTGCACTGTGAGGACCACACGTTTGGAAAATAATGACAATCTACAGTAATTTAAAGAAACCCAAAGTAATGGATGGGGGGGGGCTTCACACGTCATGAAATGCCTTCTGAAACTGAGGTGCACGTGGAGTCCAACTGCACTTCTTTTCCACAGAGCAGGAGACTAAGAGGGCAAATTGTGTGTGTGTCACACGTGCAGTGGAAGCTGTCCTTGAACTCTTCAAGCCAGTGTTTACAGAGAACTCTGGCCCCACTTGGCTCTGAAGAAGCCCTGTCTGGCTTTCCCCCTGCTGTGGAGGAGAGCTGTTCTCCCTGGGCAAGACTCTCCTTAGGAGAGGCAGAGGACTTGAGGTGACCCAGGCCACTCCCAGAACACGACAAAGTTCAGCCAGGCTGTAAGCTGCCCACCCTGGTGCTCCTCTCTGCCAAGCTGGGGCACAAATGTGGGAGGAGGAGGCTGTTTCTACAGCTGAGGGGAAAAGGGAAGAACCTTTGACGAGATTTACCTTCACACTATGACAGCCACAAGACCATTTTTGTAAGTTAGGATTTTGAGATATTATAGATTCATATGCCTGCCTGTGTAAGAAATAGAGAAGCATCCAGAGCAGTACTGTTACCCCCACTTAAGGCCTTGTATCACTACAGTGCAGCATCACTACCAGAACCTCAACATGGTCCCTCAGAAGCAGATGCCTGCTTGGTAACACCTAATTTAACACCAGAACCCGGTTCCCCAGCACCCGTTAAACATGGCAAAGATGGCTCACCCTTCTGCACCTTGGCACCACCTCAGGAGAAAGTGGCTTGGGAAGTTGACAGGCTCCAGCGGGACACCCAGCTGCCGGGCGATGGTCAGGTACAGCAGAGACATGCTGATGGGGATTCCTGTTCTGCGGGTCAACACCTGAGGGATGAAGGTTGCGGAGGCTTAGGAGGGCCAGGGGCTGGCTCGATGAGCCTGGCACCTCACGCTAGCTCCAGAGCTACATTTAGATCAGGGCCCGAATCCAGCACACTCAGCAGAAGTTTGCCTCTTCCCCCAGCCCTAGACAGGGTCTCCTTACAAAGTCACCCTGCCCCCTCAGTCTTCCAAGTACTGGCCTTGCTGGTGTGTACCATCCCCACACCCAATTTTAGCTTTTATTTGTTTCTTCAGGGCTAGGTATGGAAGCTGGAGCCTTGTGCACACTGGTGGGCAAGTGTCCCACCACTTAGCTGTTGCACATACTTGAATTTCCAAATTTTTAACATATTCTAAAAACAAAACCATTTTGTGACATGAAAATAACAGAAGCCAGGCCCTATGGGCCATGTCTAGAATCCCAGCACCCAGGAGACTAAGATGGAGAACAGACAGTCCAAGACCAGTCTGGGCTACCGAGTGAGAGTTTAATCTCAAAATTGGCAAAGAACTGTAACCAGCATGTTCTATGTCCACATAGCTCTGCTGGCACACAGGGAGCACAGCTACCCAAGACTCCAATTGCCTGTGCCCTTTCACTCAGTAAGACAGAACTGAGCACACAGACCACACAGCCTGTGAACCTGGACTGACTCACTGCCAGGTCTTTTACAGGCAGCCTGCTGGCCTCCTCCTACCAGAAAGCAAGGGTGTAAAAACGTCTATGATATGACAATAGAAACCATGTTACAGATAACAGGACAGATAAGGAAATGGACATCAAAGGTGTGTGGCTGATATAGCTGGGCCATAGGCTTCCAGGCCAACAGAGGTGGGCTTGTGCAGTTCAACACTCACAATCATAGACTGAGCAAACTGAAACATAGAAATGTCTATTTCCATCCACAGGGCTTAAACAAGCCATCCTGGAGGCTGCAGAGATGGCTCAGCAGTTAAGAGCACTGGCTGTTCTTCCAGAGGACCAGGGCGTTCAATTTCCAGCAACCACATGGTGGCTCACAACCATTTATAATAGGATTTGATATCTTTTTTAAAATATATATAAAATTTAAATTAAAAAAAATCCTGTAGCAGATCTAACCCACCATGCTATTCTATGACAGAGGAAAATGGGCTTCATTGGTCAGTAGGAAGTGGATAGCCCATCAGAGTCCAAAGGACATGTGCCTGCACACATGCAGTCACTCCTGTCTACCTAAAAGGGAGCCAGGGACAAAGCACCCTGGAGCACCAAAATCTGCAAATGCAGAAAGCAGGGACACAGAACCTACACACCCACCCTTTCCCCAACAGTGTCTGAACCCCGTGTGTGTGCACCCTTGCAGGCTTAGGCATCTAATGGTGCTTGTACGGGGAACACACAGAGGATGCTGCAGAGCCCACAGCTGCGGGGGTGGGGGCAGGGGGGTGCAGCCGCACGTACCTGGTGCATGTACAGGTTCAAGGCGTTGTAGTAGTCCATGCGGTTCCCTTTGAACTTCAGCTGGTCATACAGGACATAGTTGATGGCGTCCAGAACTTGGCTCTGAAGTTCTATCTCCATTATCATGGGGGACTCGCCTGCAGCACAGAGATCTCCTCTGGGTCACAAGCATGAGCAAGCACACCCCAAACACTCACACCCCAAAACACAAGCAAGGCACACCCCGAACACACAGCGGCTGGCAAGTGTGTGCAAGACAGTCAAGTGCGGCCAAGCTGGGAAGGGAGACAGGGTGGCATTAGTGCTTTACACCATTCAGACAGCCACCCCCAGGGTCAGCTACAGCATTTCCACACCTGCCCTGAAGGTCAGGCTGGGGTGGCGGCTGTTGATACCACGGAGGGTTTTGCATACAAGTTCCACGATGCTGTGGATCTGGGCCTGGATGTCTCTGAGGCTGATGTCGGAGAGAGGGTTGCAGTACTGGTCGATGTAAACGGCACCTGTGGGTGAGAAGGGCAGAGCCAGTGTTGCTTTCTACCTGACTGGCAGTAGCACGTTACTGAACCAGCACCTGGGGTTCTGGTTCCCATACCACTTCTCATACCACACCAGTTCCCACCCTAGATTCCAGGCAAAACCCTAACACAGCAAGGAAAGATCAGATGCCTTCACCACAAAGCACTCCACACACCACTTAAGAAAACAAAACAACCCTTTTTTTTGGGGGGGGGGAGGTCATGATTCCCACGTCCTATTGTGAAGAGTGCCAAATGCCCACAAGAAAGCCCTCAGGCCACCTGTCTCCCACACTCAAAACCCAACCACTAAAGACTTCCTAAGGCAATTCCTCCTAACAACTAAGCGGGAGCGACAAAGAGACCTCATTAAAGGGGATTTGATGGCCTCAGGCTCAGCCAACCATACCTAAGTCATCATTAGGTGCAGAACATTTTTACTTGAAAGCCTTCCAGTGATCTTTTAAATTCAAGAGACCACAGGCTACCTCAGGACCTAGCTGTTCAACCAACACTCTAAGAAGCTGAAGGCAGTTCAGGACACCGGGAGACACAGCCTAGGCTGTAGGAATTGTCTGTAAGTCACCGCTCACGCTTCTTCAGTGGCTGCTGGAGTCTAGCCAGGGTTGAAGTTCTGGAGCAAGCACTCCCCTCTAGCCACTCAGAGGTTTCTATTGCCTATCTAGTGACCTGGGTTGACTGTGAAAACCGAAACTTTGTATTTGAAAATGTAAAACAAGCATTTATTTTTCATATATAACCTACAAAAACAAAGAAAACTGCTTTACTATTCTTAACTGTTAAATGAAAGCTGGCATGATGGCACAGCTTTAATCCCAGAACTCAGGAGGCTGAGGCAGAAGGATCTCTGTGTGTTTGTGGTCAGTCTGGTCAACACAGCCAGCCAGGATTCTGCCTCAAAGAAAAGAGAACAACAACAAACACCTCAAAAGAACTGAACTCCTAGCTCTCCGACACATAAAGCAGATAAAGCAGACAAGAGGACGGCTATGACTTTCTTTCCATTTAACTACAAGATTTTCTATCTCCTGTCAGTCAACATCAGACCTTCAACTATTAGCATGTATTACCACCAGGCACTGCGGGCTGTGGCAATCTTTACTCAAGGCCTGGAACATAACAAACCACTGACAAGGGCTGGGCAAACCTAGCATTCGGAAGACAGGCTGACAGCTAGGCTGTGCTCTGCATCGCAAACAAAACAAAAAGCAAAGAAATACAAGGACCACACTGGACACAGAAGGGGTGTAGCAGTCACTGTGACAGTCAGGGCAGCTGCAGCTGCTGAAGCCAGTGAGCTCTGCAGGGATCAGCTGGAACTCACAGAAGTGAGCCCTGAGCTGAAGGGCAGGAGACCACAGGAAGAGTGCTGCCACCGTGAGGAAGAAAAGCTGAGCATCTCCAGGCAAAGGCCTGGATTCAGAAGCAGAGCACCGCAGAACAATTTGCAAAGGTGTGACACTAGGGGAGGACCAGACCACAGAGGGCCCTGGGAAGCAAGCGACCATTCAGAAAACATGAGGCAGGTCCTACAGTGATAGGGACAAGTGGGTCAGGCACACTGGCTGACTGGAGGACAGCTGGCAGTGATGCCCAGGGAAAGCCAGGACTCCTCGGAGAGGTTGCCGAGTGCTTGGAGAACCATACTGGACAGGATGTGACCTAGAACACCAGTGAAGGGGGGAAGTCAACCCATCTAGTGATCCCCAGGAGCAGGGAGGATACATAAGCACACACTTCACAACCACAGCACAGGATGTTTCTTCCTATGAATTAAGACAGTGTTTAAAAAGCTAAGTCACATTTTCTTACTATTCCCCTAAGAGCCCACTAACTCCCAGGCGCTGCCTGTCCTCACGAATTCCCGGCTGCTACAGGACACAGGTAAATAGGAGCAAGTGGACATCCAAAGTAACAGTTTTGAGCGGGAAGAACTGGTTCCACTAGCCAAAGGTCACTCACTCTGCAGGCCCTGTGCTTGTGTTGAGGGCAGAGGTCAACCTCAGCACTGTCCTTGGGAGATGTCCATCTTGTTTTGCCAAGCTCACTGACTAGAGACCTGTGAGAATCCTGTGTCCGCCTCCCCAGTGCTGCAGTTATGAGTATGCACCAAGTTAGCTGTCTACATGCGTTGTGGGGCACAAATCAACTCCTCACACCTGTGTGGCAAGTGCTTTCCTGACTGAGCATCCAGTCCTCAACTGCCACTAAGCTGGTGATGACTCTTAAGATACTAAATCACTTGAGCTGACACAGAAGATGCCACTGGAATCTGCTGGAAGTCTGAGTGCTGTGTGCTTTGTAATCCAACTTCCTGAAGCCCACTGGCATGGCTTTCTTTGTCCTCCACCTGGAGGGACAGCTGTCACCAGCTCTTCAAAGGCCGTGCTCACAGGCACAGAAACACCCACCTTCCAGATACGACTCATAGTCATCGGGCTGCTGCAGGAAAGCCTTGAGGTTGTTCAGAATTTTCTGCTGCCGCAGGTAGTAAAGAATTTTCTTTGCGTAGTATTTCCAGGTCAAAGCTTTCCTGGAAAGCAATCAAACAAGCCACTAAGAACTTCAGCTGCCCAGCCCCCCTTCCTATTATATACCCCCCTTTAACAAGACAAACACAGCTGACACACATCTGCACCGCTGCTGGCAGAGGGCTCTGCACCCTGACTTGATGGTTCGATGGCACAGAGACATTTACACCGTCTCTGGAGGAAGGCTGTCAACGGCATCCTGGGAGGTGAGGTATACTGTGCTGTCCTGTCCCCAGGGCCTGCTCTGACACTCAGGGCATAGGCTGCTCCTTTCTCCTTTTGTGCTCGGTGCATTCTACCCTCACGGCTTCAGGTGCATCCGACATGGCCACCTTTCCAGAAGTTACTTTCTGAAGAAGTTTTCCAAAGAACTCAAATCTGCACATACAATTGTTACTCCATACTTGCCTGGATAGCTGGGGGCATCCCAAGACTTCCTCCTAGTGAGTCACTATTCCCAAAGTCACAGTAAGCTGTTAGCCCACGAGGCTCAGACCTCTGAACCATCTCGATCTTGAATGCCTTGAGTGCCCTCTTCCAACACCCTAACATGAGCATCTGCCACTAACTTGGCAAAGCTGGCCCAGTTTTTGTGGGTGTCTCAGTACCCTCCTCCTCCTCGGCACCTGCTTCCATCCTCTCCCTCATCACCTCTTGGTATGCAGTCCATTGTTCCAGTGATGCTCACCTACAGTGCCATGGCCTCTGCCCCCTTCTTCAGTTTCTGCTTCCGCACACTAAAAGCCCAACTTCTAATAAAGACACAACATGTCCCTCCGTCCCATCCCCATAGCCTCTGAAATCTCAGTTCCAACTGCCCCCACTGTCCCTTTAACCCAGTGCCCGTCTGTGTCACCTTCCTCAGTGGGATGTTCCTTCCCTGGATGCCTGCAGTCTGTTCTCTTACTTCCTCTTGGCTTTCTGTTCAGATGGCCCGAGTCAGGCCTCTCCACAGCTATCCTACATCAAAAGGTGCCCCACACCCTTACACTCTAGTTCACTCAGCATTTCCCTTGGCACGTGCCACTTCCTAGAAAATCAACAGCTTGTATGTTTTTATTGTTACCCTGCGAGCTTGTGAAGGCAGGGATGTGGGGTTGCTCACAGCTATACCCTGAGTGCCTATCATAGTAGCGTCTGTGCACTGAGGGTGTGTAGAAGACTCTGCACAGTAGC